TTAGTATCAAATCGGATAATCCGTTCGCTTTATATGGATATTAACTCCATTATGTATAATGAATTGTTGTTAACAAAGTAAATATATTCCAAAAAGAAAAAAAATAACAACAACACATTTACATATCATTAAATCGAATGGTTTATAAATTATTTTAACACCCTATGTCAATGAGCTTATTTTTTGTTTTTGGTGCTACTCTTTTGTCAGGCGCTGGTGAAGATGTCAGTTGGCGGCAGTTGCAAGACACTTTCAACTTTGATTCATTTGCAAAAAATGAAAAGAAAACTTTCTCGTTGCAATTTATTGTTAACCTGACGTAGTTTAGTTCGCTTTTGATATCGCTTATAAGCGAATGGCATGAACGCCATGGCGTCTGAAAATGAAACAGGGGTTGGGTTGGGGGACAAGTAGGCATGCAAATCAAATCAAATGACTAGAAAATTATCTATGGAAAAATATGTTCACTTTCATTGACAATGTCAGCCTTTCAAACTATTTTTTGATTTTTCAATTCAGACACTTTGAAGTCATGCAAAGAGACAACTAAAAGTGTAGCATTGACTATGCGCCAAAGTGTAATAATAATAAATTTTATTTTAAACAATGTAATTTACTTTGTTTATGATATATTTAAAATATGCATTAATTTTAATTATATAGGAGTTCATTTATGCTGGCAGGTGATGATGGCACTGGCACTGGCATTGCTTGTTTAAACAAAGACGTGAACAAAAGCAAATAAAAATCGTTATGTGGGGGCTACCCTGAAACTTGGGTCAATATTTATATTTTTATTAGTACGGATATGAGCTATCCAAAGAGAACTCAAAATACCAATTTACGGCCAATTCGGTTGGAAAACATGTCCAAAAATACCGAGTATTGGGAATTACCGTTATATGGGGGCAACCCTGAAACTTGGATCAATATTAATAATTTTTGGTACGAAGATGTGCTATACAATGTGAACCCTAAAAAAGCCAAATCGGTTGAAAAACGTAACCAAAATCCTCAAAACACGGAATATTAGGGGAACCAAACATCCTAGGAGTACTAGCAATGTGTGTGCTAAAATTCAGAGCTCTATCTTAAATATTGCCATCTCTATCGTGATTTTAACAGAAGGGCAGACAGACAGAAAATCAAAATAGAATTTTATTCTGATCAAGGATATAACTTTGGGGAATCTCCGGTGAATATTTGGAGGTGTTGCAAACAGAATGGCAAATTTAATATACACTCCACATCTGAAAAATGTTTAACCAGTAAGGAAAGTAGTAAAGTCGGACGGGGCCGACTATATGATACCCTTCACCACTATGGGTATATTAAACAGAACAATTAACATGAAATTGGATGAACTAAAATATGTGATATTTATCTAAATGTGAATCAACATAGATCAATCTATAAGCATGTCATTTGTTTGTTACAATGGGACAAATGTTGGGCCGTTGGGCTATGTCTATACTTCTAGAAAACCCAACTACGTTATTCTATGCTCAATTTTGTACGTTGTGCAAAATTTCATGTCAGTTTGACAAACACCATTTGCACCGTTTACTTAAAATCGGACGAAAATATATGTGAAATCTATATCCAAATATGATCCGATTTCAACAAAACTTGTCACAGGTTGGGTTATACTAATTTCAGTACGTTTTGTTCCTCTCAACCATATATTGGTTCCTTGGTTCATCAATTACTTAAAATCAATCGATCTATGCAATATTAGAACTTTGGTACATTATTTACATAAAATCTGACGGAAATATATATATATCTTTATCTGAACCGATTTTCACGAAACTCAGCACATATCATTCCAGGCTCAATTCTGTATGCTATACCAAATTTCGTGCAAATCGAAAAATTTATACGGACTTTGGTGAATCTTTAACATAAAATCGGACGAAACTATATATGGAAGCTATATCTAAATCTGGACCGATTTTTAAGAAACTTGGCATAAAGCACTCTAGGCTCAATTATGTACGTTATGCCAAATTTCGTGCAAATCGAAAGATATATAGGGACTTTGGTGCATCATTTACATAAAATCGGACGAAACTATATATGGGAGCTATATCTAAATCTGGACCGATTTTCACGAAACTTGGCAGACATCACTCTAGGCCAGAGATGGCCTATCAGAAACAGTGACGTAAATGACATACATTTCCGACGTATAATACATACGTCAGAAACGTCGGAAACCTACCCAAATCCATTAGGTTTCTGACAAAATAGTTATTTCCATTAATCAATTTGGAAATTACGCATGCTTTATTCTAATTAATATAAAATTTGAAAAATTTCTTCTCAAAAAATTTAAAATTTTTTATCAGTTCTTGTAAGGAATAGTCAGATATATATATATATATATATATATATATATTCTTGAAAATAACTGTATATGCTGATAATTTTGAAATAAATGACGTTTACTACATTTATCACATTTTATACAAGTATATGACATTTTCGACGTTTACACCTAAAAATTCGTCACACGGACCATCCCGGCTCTAGGCTCAATTCAGTTCGTTATGCCAAATTTCGTGCAAATCGAACGATATATAGGGACTTTGGTGCACCATTTACCTTAAATCGGACGAAAATATATATGGGAGCTATATCTAAATCTGAACCGATTTTTCCCAATTTCAATAGGGTTCGTCCTTGGACCAAATAAGTGAACTGTGACAAATTTCATCCAAATCGGATCATAAATGCGACCTGTACTTTGTTTACAAAAATACATGGACGGACGGACGGACATGCGTAAATCGCCTCAGAAAGTGATTCTATGTATATTCTCAAAAGGAACTATGGGTCTATCTCGATTCCTTTTGCCTGTTACAAACATATGCACAAAGACATAATACCCTGTGTGGTGAAGGGTATAAAAACGGGAAATACCAATAAGCTGAAAAGCCAACAACCAATCTTTGGTGCACCATTAACAAAAAATCGGACGAAACTATGTATGGGAGCTATATCTAAATCTGCACCGATTTTAAACTGTTTCAATAGGGTTCGTCCTTGGGGCAAATAAGTGATTTGTGCCAAATTTTATCTTATTCGAATAAAAAATGCGACCTGCACTTTTTGTACCCTTCATCACACTGTGGTACAGGGTATTATGTCTTTCTGCATATGTTTGTAACAGACAAAAGGAAACGAGATAGGCACATGGTCCCTTTTGAGAATATGCATAGAATCACTTTCTGAGTCGATTTATGCATGTCCGTCCGTGTGTCCGTCTGTAGATGTTATATTGTAAACAAAGTACAGGTCCCATTTATGATCCGATTTGGATGAAATTTGGCACAAGTCGCTTATTTGGCCCAAAGACGAACTCTATTGAAAAATCGGTTCAGATTTAGATATAGCAACCACATATATTTTCTTCCGATTTAAGGTAAATGGGGCACCAAAATCCCTATATATCTTTCGATTTGCACGAAATTTAGCACAGAGTACTGAATTATGTCCAGAATGATGTGCGCCAAATTTCAGGAAAATCAAGTCAGATTTATATATAGCTTCCATATATATTTTCGTTCGATTTAAGGTTAATTGGCCTCCAAAGTCTCTATATACCATTCGATTTGCACGAAATTTGGCATAGAGTTCTGAATTAGGTCCACAATGATGGTCGCCAAGTTTCAAGAAAATCGAGTCAGATTTATATATAGCTCCCATATATATTTTCGTCCGATTCAAGGTAAATGTGTCTCCAAAGTCTCTATATATCATTCGATTTGCACGAAATTTGGCATAGAGTACGGAATTAGGTCTAGAATAATGTGCGCCAAGTTTCATGAAAATCAAGTCAGATTTATATATAGCTCCCATATATATTTTCGTCCGATTTAAGGTAAATGGTACACCAAAGTCCCTATATATCATTCGATTTGCACGAAATTTGGCATAGAGTACGGAATTAGGTCTAGAATGATGTATGCCAAGTTTCCAGAAAATCGGTTCAGATTTAGATATAGCTCCAATATATATTTTCGTCCGATTTAAGGTAAATGGGTCTCCAAAGTCCCTATATATCTTTCGATTTGCACGGAATTTGGCATAAGGTACTGAATTGGGTCCTGAATGAAAATCGGTTCAGATTTAGATATAGCTCCAATGTAAATTGTGCACTCAAGACCCGAAGATTGGCCGACACGCACACAATTTTGTACAATGTACTGAAGTTGAAATTGGTTCAGATTTACATAAAGCTCCTATATATACTTTCGTCTGACTTTAAGTAAATGGTGTACTAAAGACCCATAGCTAGGCCGATTGGCAAAACGTACTGAAATTGATATAAATTAATCTCGGGCAAGTTACCTTGAAATCGGTTTAGATTTAGATATAGCATAGCTTCCATATATAATTTCGACCTATTCATGTTGATAGCAATCCAAATAATCAATGTGTGCCTGATTGATATTACATTTTAAACAGTGAGGCATACCAAATATCGTGCGTAAAGTTTGATTGAAATCTATTTACAAAGTATGGAATAGATAGCAGAATGACATGTGTACGGATTGATGTTAGTCGGTTTACTTATAGATAAATCTCTAATTTTTAAGTTCGTTCAATTTCATGTCAATGTTCCTTCGAAAAGACGACATCTGTAAAGATACATATGTAGAATATTCCCAAAGTGGTGAAGGGTATCAGTCCGACTTTACTACTTTCCTTACTGGTTTTACAAATTAACTTAACGTGCCTGTTACAAACATATGCACAAAGACATAATAACATGTACAAAAGTGTGGTAAAGGGTATAAAAATCAAGTCTCATAACAGAACACGTATTTTTAAGGTCCTAGTCGCATGTTCATGAAATTTGCTTTCAGGCTAAAATGTTTTAGTTATCAAGGCCGTTTGTTTTTCTTATTTTTATTTTATAAATATTTTTATTTTAGCAATAACAAAACGTAATTTAATAATACCTATTTCTTTCCCTCCGCATCTTCTTACAGTGTGCGCCAATGTGACATATGTGGGACCGAAAAACGAACTAAACCTCGAGATGTTTGTCAATGAAACACAATCAGCTAAATATGCCGTTTCTGCTCGTAATCCTTCACCATTTTGTATACCGGTAATGTTGGGCATACCCATGTCGATGTGTGTCCAAATGTCCGATGTTGGACTGCAGGGTGATAATATGCATGCCTGTATGGATTTTATGGTTCAGCTGGCATCGACACAAATATTTGAAATGCATTTCCAGTGTATGCAGATAGGAGCACAGGGAGCTCAATGGGTGTTGCCCGGTGGCGGTCCCGTTATACCTCCCTCTCAAAGTAAAATTACCGATCGTAGTGATACAATGTCTGATGAATATTACGACGAAGAGGAAGAGGAGGAGGAGAAAGAGCAAGGAGAGGAAGAAAATACTATTGAAGCGGATGTGGCAACAAATAAATTAGTGGTGCCACAGAAATTGGGAGAAAAGGAAGAGGAGGACACAAATAAAGGCGAATCAGAGACTAATAAGATTATGGAATCCCAGAAGGAGGAAATGGATGAGGATGTAAATAAAGCAGAGGAGGAATTGGATTATGAAGATCTTATGGAAGAAAGTGATACGAATATATCCAAAGAAAATGAAGTCATAACCCCTGAAGAGAAAAAGGAAGAGAACGGAAAAGCTCCTAGTGTGGACAGTTATACTTTAAGACCTTTGAAAGCAAAAAGTGAAGAGGAGAGTTCAGCAGAACTTGAAACATCTGATGACAGCCAGATGTCAATTGAAAATAAAAATCACGATTAACTGAAAACTCTGAGGAACAGACAATGAAAAAAATCAATTTGGAAAATGACACTCAACCCATTATGGCTAATAGCGAAACAATGGAAAACAAACTCATTGACAATATCAATGACACGGTAATGACTGTTACATCTTCCACAACACAAACTCCATTAATAATGTTGCCAAAAACCCCGACAACAACAACTACACCATTTAACGGACCACTGAACTCAACATCGGATACCAAAACAGAGGAAAATAATAATAGTGGTCATAATGAGAGTGATTACGATGATGACGATGAAGGAGAAGAAGAAAGTGCTGAAGAGGATGATGAAATCGATGAGGATGATGCTGATGAAGAAGAAGATGAAGACGATGACGGCAATGATGATGATGATGAATCGACTTCGACTGAAGTGAAAGAGCCTGTAAATGTTAATCGAAATAAACAAAAATTGACAACCACAACAAATGACAATGATCATAAAAATGTGC